GTGACAGTTCACATTTCATACAGTCTTCTCTGTATGGTAAAATTGATTATGCTATTTTAACCATAAAGCAAGGAAAAAAGTTTGCTGTATATATGCATGGGCACACCAGTTATTGGGTGCACCACAGTTCTAGACGCAGTGTCTACCTGCCAGTCCAGTTCACTTACGGTAAGGCTGGTCTTCCTTTGGTAGGTGCTGGGAGGAATGCATACACGTGGGAAATTTTCATCTCAAGTCTGACAAAGTAATTCTGTCCTCATTGAATTCAGGAGAGATGCTGACTCATAAGATGGAAGGGACAAAACGTGGCCAGAAGGAACAAGATCAAGCTGGTTCCTCTGTCCTGCCCTAGTAGTCAAGTAACCCCACAATGTGGTAGGAAATTTGGGCTCCAGAAAACTGTAGTACTTTTTCTGCAGCATTAAAACACAGCTTTCTAATGCATTGTGGTACTTACAAGATCAGCAAGGTATCCTTCCATCTTCTGCCAGAACAGGATGAAAGAAGAGATCAATGTTCCTGCAGCATGCACAGGCACTATTGGCTGCTGCGTTACCACAACCGCAGCAGGCTGTCACTCCCCTCACAATCTCCCTAAACACCCAGCTGAGCAACTTCTGGTGATCTGCTGTCTCCACAAGTTAGCACCATGATTATAGGAAAATGTGGGAATCTCCAGGCCTTTAAGTTGTTGGGATGGTTTCAGATGCAGAGCCTGGATGCTGTCCAGATTCCCTCAAAAGACTTTCACACAGTCCTTCATAAATTATTCTGCATACCTCAGCACCAGATTTCCTCAGTAGCCAGCCAAGACAGTATAGGCAACTTCTGGAACTCTCTTACAAACAAATAAGAAGACAGTGATAAAAATATTACTCTCCTTGCAACCGGTTGCTTTAGTTGCAATGGACTACTGGAGGACCAATATCAGGCAGATGACAGAGGTATGAAATATCATCAGGGACTTGATATTCCCCCACCCTTCCCTGCCTTTCATTAAATGACACTGTGCAGTTCTCCTGTGCTTTCCCAACAAAGCTCCAGGTGGCTGCAGGAATTGAGGTGAAGGAGAGCAAGGCAAAATACCTATTCTGCAAGTGGGTCTAGGTATAGTTTGCATTGCTTCACGTTCCGTGGATATGTCTACATGAGTGTCTTAATTCAAATTAAGAACATGCTTTTGGGAGAAACCTCCCAACTGCCTGAGCTCCCCACATCTTGGTTCTCACTGGGGAACTGTTTGGGACACATAAGCAGGATGACATTTGGATGAAATTAATCTGAAAGCTGTGCTCTCCTGGGGAACACTTAATGTGCTCCAACCTTTCTGGGCATGCAGTCTTCAGGGTCAGGCATCAGCTAGTACACTCTTCTGGACAGATATAACAGGGGTGTCAGGTCTTTGGCATCAAATGTTGTGCCATCCCAATCAATTCCTCTTGCACCACACCACTTGCTAATTGACCCCTGGCAGCTGCCACAGTACCTAGAAGCTATTCATAAGTACAGAATCCATCTTCCCAAATGAGATACAGGCTGTGACAGATGTCTCATTTAGGACAGCACATTACATAGATTAATTCCTCTAGATGATAAAGATCTTCACTCCATTTTGTTAAATATAATTTATATGCCTGTAATTAAAAAAAAAAGTGGTAGCAATATATTCCTTCATCATTCTACTGCCCAAATTCAAACAAACACTATATAATGACCAAAACCTCTAAGACAATCAATTTCTGTCCTCTCAGTCTCCAAGCACCCTTTAGCATTTGCAAGCAAAACAAATTCTTTTGCCAAGATTTTTGAGGGTTGCACATCAATATTTTGCTCAGCCCAGCGTACTCCCCTTCTCCTTTTATTACTTAGGGAATAGATTTGGAAACATTCTTATCAGCCATTTTGTGCACAGTCATGTATTTTCTGATTGATTGACCAAATCATTCCTCCCATCATCTGTTTAAAGTAGATCCACTGATCACTGATTTTAAGAAAAGCCCATTTTGCTTTATAAATGTCTATTTAAAACACCACCAGTGTTAATCATTGCAGTGCTATATATTCATATCTTTCCAAGACACTCTGAGCTCATATAAGTATCTCCTTCATGCGGTTCTTCTGCTAGGGTAGTTCTGTGGTCTCTAGACCTTTAAGCATACAGGAGAAGTACAAACCTGCCCACCAGTGACAGACTGGAAGTGCCTCAGGGGCAGGACCACTCAAGAATTTTAGGCCACTTTAAGGTCAGGATCTAAGGGGCTGAGGAAGTCACGCGTCTTCAGGATCCATTGGGAACTGAGAAGGGACATTCAAAGTCAAGGTTCAACTCGATCACCTCATTTCTGCGCTAGGTGCCTGTTTCCCTTTTAGTACATCTGTGCTTGAGACGCTGAAGCTTTGAATGCATTATGAAGAAACACATTGTTAGTGTTACTGTATGTTGCCTTTGCTAAAATCTCACACATTGTACTTCCAGAAAGCGTTAAAATCACTGCTTAAATTTCACTGTAATTTCCATCTCCAGGAAGCTCCAATGCCTTACTCAATTAAGTAAATCCACCCTTAGTTAATCTAGAAATAGGACATGTATAAACAGCAGAAATATAGGATTGTGATTAATACAGCAAACCTAATTCTGACATGTAATTTAAATTGTATGTAGGTCATATCATAAATCTGTAAGTGCTTCTGAAGTCTGTAGGCTTCTTGCCAGCATTAATTTTGGTAGAAAGTAAGAAATATTTCTCCAGTATTTGATTGCTTTTCAAACTCCAGGTCTGATATGTTCTTCAAAAATCTGTCCCAGTCTGCCTTCCTGTAATATTTACTAGAGCTTAAAAATAAAAATTTGTACCTACATACTGATTACTTACATAGGTGAAATACTTTGGGGAAAAAAAAAAGCGCTATTTCACTGTTTATAGCTTTTTTGCTAAAACAAACTATGACAACAGTCAACCACCTTGACACAAACTTATAAAATATATTAAATTTTAAATATTGACAATACAGACTTTGATTTTTTGTTATACAATGATTACAAATGTGCGTCAAAAAATACTTCCATGAAGCAGACCTCCTGTGTAAATCACTCAAGGAAAAACTGATTTTCAATTTCATAAAAGTGTAAATATGGAGAAAAAAGTCATAGAAAAGTTCTTAAATCACAAACACTGCTTAATAAATATTACTAACACTATATCAGATGTCTGATGCAGAGCAGACTCATACTTGTGCCCTTGTACTCAGCATGAACATTACTGAACTTTGTGCCATCTCCAAGTCATGGGATAAGGCATCAAACTATTTTATGGATACAGTATGGCTGTATATGGAGCCATGATGCAGTCATCCATTGCTAAGAATTTAAGTTATCAATCCAAAGTTTAAACTAATTGAAAGTGACTAACCCAGGAGATGCTGGGGAGAGGCAAATCATAGAATCATTGAAGGGTTTGGGTTAGAAGGAACCTTTGAAGATCAAAGATAGAATCTTTCTGCTGCCTCTGGTCAGCAGTGATAAGCCAGTATTGCCTGAGTTATTTTTCAGATTTGGGGATAAAACATGAAGTTTCAGAGACTGTGCTTAGATATCATGGGTTTAGGTTTTAAGATAGCAGCTGTATTTAGCTTCCTCAGAATTCTAAGATAGAACTGAAGTTTTTCACAAGCACAACTGACTTTTAAATTCTAGTTTTAATGAAATAACTGCTAAAAAGGGAAGAACTGAACCAGTCTGAGTGAATGAAACCCCTGAGAGCTACAGCAGGATTGTGTGTAAAAGCATTTCACTTCTTTAGCATGTGATTGATTGGCAGTCAGTGTCTACACTCAGTACCTGATGCACACCTAGTAAAGGACCTGATGGGGCACAGTCCTCCACTCCTCCAGCCTGGCAGCTGTTGAGCACGCATGGACCCAACACAGTATCTGCTGGGAGTGCGTGCACATACATGTGCATGCACATATACATGACCACCCCTACATTTCCAGAAGACACAGTGGGTGCGCACATGCAGACCTGGAGCAGGGACAGATGTCTGAGTTCTGCATTGTGGACAAAGCCCACATCGCTGTCTGTGTGTCCAGGGAGCGTACAGAATAAAGAAGGTAACATGGATGCAAAGTAAACTGGTTAATTTTCTCTAGCCTTAATATTCACCTGTTTAGTACTGGCTGATAGTATAAAATTCAGGATGTTGTCATCAGGAACAAAACACAGTCGGTATCAACTCTAGTCTTGCAGTGTTCCCCATGTCTCCTGAGGAAGCAGTTCTAGGTGATGGTCAAAAGAAGAAATATCATCACTAGCTTGTTGCTGAGCTTGGGCTTTTTCTTTTCATCTCATGGTTTTTTAATTATTACTTGTACCCGTGCTACTTACTGTGGAAACGATACCAAAATTCTGAAGAAACAAAGCCTTATCTCTTTGGAAAACAGAAATCATCAATCCTGCACAGCTGAGCTGATGAGGAGACTACTCAGCTCCTGCAGTACCTTCCTGCCATCTTGTGGCACTGTAGGGTTTCCAGCTTTCCGTATTTCATGTTTTTTATCTCAAAGGAAGTTACTTTTTTTTAGGTTTCAGATGCCATCTAGTTAAAGAACACACAAACCAAGATCTTGCTCTGACTGACAGCAGTGTCAAAACTCTCATTGATTACAAAACTTCCGAACGGCACTAATTGTATTAATTTCAATAACATTATGTCAAAAATTAAAATAAATTCAAACTGAAAAATGTAAAAATGGGTTTCAGTTTTAAAGAATAAATTACCATTATACGGAAATAATACCTTCCATTTGTATTATGAATTCATTTGTATTTTTTGTTAGGGATACTTTGGTGTTTTTAAATAGTTTCCTCCTTTTGCAAGTCTGCCTGAAGAAAAAAGAAGCTGCATCTTTCCTATGCCTTCAGGCGAGATTCCTCAAGGGCTTGTTCAAAGTTTACTTATTTTTCAAAAATAAAGGAACATATGAGAATGTGCTACTGTCAGATTTCCTGCTCCTGCTTTCAGGCTGGAATCACCAACTCGATCTTTGAGCATGGATGCACCACGAGGAATTAATATCAAAGCGCAAGCTGGGAATATTGAAGCTCTTTCCCAGATGGATATCAAACTTCACAGCAGCGATGGTGTGGTGAGTACAAACCTTTCTGTTTCTGTAACTATGGTTGATGTTGCTGTCTGACTATAACTAACAACTTCAAGTCTTCTTTCAAGTTATTTTCGTTCCTTAGATTTTAGGAGACAGGATAGTAAACTTAATGGTGCCAATAAAAAGACTTTTATTTATGGGTCAGATTAAATAATAACACCAATTGACATAATGCTGTATTAGCTTAGAGAAATGCTAATAAAGCTGCAGTAGCACTCAGCTCCCCACTAGCACAGTGATCCCCAGGCACCCAAATAGGGTCCTTGACCTAGAGCAGACACTCAGCCCCAGAGCTGCTAAATTAAGGAGATGTCATGAAGAACTGCTCCATCAGCAACAGCACGCCTCGTGCAGCAAACTATCTAGGACATCCGTGAGGGTGTACAGTGCCAGTTCTTCCACAGAGGAACTCCAGACCAACCTGTTTGTCCATCCCTAACAAGCTGGCACAGATGCAAAGTGTCAGCACTCAAGCCAGGACAGACCTGAGTCCAGCAGCAGCAGCAGCACCTACGTGCTGCTATTCAGTGTATGGGCAGGGGTTCCATACCTTACCATAGAATAGTTTGGATTAGAAGGGACATTTAAACGTCATCTAGCTCCACCCACCCTGCCATGGGTAGGGACACCTTCCACTCAGCCAGGTTGCTCAACCTGGTCAGGGTTGAAGGTCAGATCCAGCCTGGCCTTGAACACTTTCAGGGATGGGGCATCCACAAATTGTCAGGGCAGCCTGTTCCAGTGCCTCACCACCCTCACAGGGAAGAATTTCTTCTTAATATCTAATCTAAATCTACCCCTCATCAATTTACAACTGTTAGCACTCACCCTATCACTTCACTCCCTGATAAGAAGTCTCCCCATCTTTCCTGTAGGCCCCTGCTCTAAGATCTCCAAGGGGCCTTCTCTTACCCAGGCTGAAGAAAACCAAGTGTCTCAACCTGTCTTCATAGGAGAGGTGCTCCAGTCTTTGGAGCATCTTTGTGGCCTCCTCTAGACCTGTTCAAGCAGGTCTGTGTCTTTCTGATAAAGAAACACTGTTCCAGATAGGAACACAGTGCTGCAGATGGGGTCTCAGCGAGAGTGCAGTAGAGGGGGAGAATCATCTCCCTCGACCTGCTAGCCACACACCTTTAGGTGTAGCCCAGGATGTGACTGGCTTTCTACTCTGGAAGTGCACATTGCTGGGTCATATCCAACTTTTCATCCACCAGTATCCCCAGGTTCTCCCCAGGGCTTTTCTCAATCTACTCATCACCCTGCTTGTATCCATGTTTGGGATTGCCCCAGCGCAGGTGCAGGATCTTGCACTTGGCCTTGCTGAACTTCATGAAGGTCACTGCAAAGGAATAGGATAGGCACCAGCTTATCCCTCTCCTGTGTTCCAGTGTTTTCTGAGAGCCTAGGTCTCAGAGAGCTTTGTATGTAACAAGTCTCGGTAGAAGACTATTCTTCAATCATTGCTTAGACAGTCACGTTGTTGTGTGTCATATGTATTATCTCTAACAAGTCCGTTTGTCCTGCTTTCTCCCATTTAGCTTTTGCTGGATGCTGAAACTGTGCGACTGCCCAAATTGCCTGAGGGTACAAGGGGTGGATCCAGTATTTCTCAGGGGCTCTACGAAATCTGTGTTTGTCCAGATGGAAAGCTCTATTTGTCAGTGGCCGGTGTGGGCTCCACTTGCCATGAATACAGCCGTGTCTGCCAGTGAGGCGCCAGAAAAAAAACCTTGCTAGTTTGATTTTTATATTACTGCTGAAGAGCATTACCGAAACCAGAATTTTAAGAGTTTTAAAAACAAAGTACTTCAGTTAGGAAACAAATCTGTATCTACAATTCTGGACTACAGGGTGAAAAGGGAAGAAGAGCACAAATGACATTTCAGCTTCAAAAGAATGACTTGAATCAAATTACATGTTCTATCAGTAACACTTTTAAAACAGCCTTACAGAGAACATAAAATAAAGGAATATGTTTCCTTGCTGAATTATTACTCAGTCAGACGATTATGTCACTGTTAATATTTTTGAGCTGTGTTTTTTTTCTCTCACTACATGTAACACTGCATTAGTGGGTGAAATTAAATTGAGGGAATAATGCTAAGACAAAGCATTAGTTGGGGAATTCGAAAAGTGCCAGCAAATGGTCTATGCAATTTTGTTCTTGCAATAACACAAGATTTGAAAAATGTGGTATTTGTATAAGTTCTGTGTAAAAGGTTAATTTGCAAATAGCTTTCTGTTTTAATTTGTCGGCATATACGCTGATTTGCTTATTACTGAGATTCAAATGAGATATAAAAATAACCAATACAAAAAGCTTCAGGAGTTATTTGTGCCACCTACATCTCAAATCTGTTCACTACACAACAGAGAAATATGTCAGTATATTTTATAATAGCAGTAGTTTGTTTTATTGCCTGTACTGTCATACTCATTTAAACCCCATCCTAATTCAACAAGGCAATGTGCTTTGCCAGATGGACTAGTGAGAAGTAAAAAACCCTATATGGCTCCAGATTGTCTGACACTAGGAACTGTTTGGGCGGTGGGGAACAAAATCCTTTTCTGCAGCCCACAGGATCCAATTAAGAGGACTATTTAATTTCCATCTGCAGCTGTTGACTGATACTTCTGATCCTGTCAGAGCGTGACTCTATCGCAAATGGAGAGAGTAAAACTAATCTGTATTATTTTTTACATTTGGATACAAAATAAATGCTCACCAGAGCTGACAAACCATTTATTGACCTTGTAGCGAAACACAACTGCAGACCTATTCCCATGTACAGTGTTGCACTAAACACAAATAAATTGTTTGCACACCTCTGGATAGCAAGATTTGCACTGAATAGTCTGTTCTTTAAAACTCAAGTGATTTTAACTCCTTTGATGCTGTTTTGTATATATTTGATGATATTATTACCCATGTAGGAGCCACTATCACATAGTGCCTTGGTGTCTATTTAGAGAAAGATTTTAACCTGTAACTGTTTTTAAACCACGGAATGTCCATCCTTTACAGAAAGGAATCATCATCCTTAAAGCAGGAGAATCAGAACGAAAGAATTACTAAAGCTGTGCTGTTTTTTAAACTTTCTACTTCAGCTCTGGTGGACAAGCGAAGAAACCCAACACTCCGTTATGATCCAAGATACCAACAAAAGACTGAGCTGAGAAAGAGCCCCCAGTTAACAGTATCCACTGCTATTGTGGTAAAATTCTAGGTAGTTCCTGCCTCAAGGGCTGCCTTTGTAATTTATCCAGTGAGTCTAATATACAATACTAAAATTGCCCTTCATTAGCAGGATGGAGCCCTCAGTAATTAGTGAAGACTAGAAACGCTTCAATAGGAGAAGTAGGAGACTTGCTTAAGCTAAGATTTTGGGTCCCCCCAGGCAAAGGAGGCAAGTGAGTTGAGGTCTCCCATGTTATTTGGAGAGTACTGATTGCTAACGTGTTCCCTAAGGGAAAAGGAGGGAGACACACATCTTCCGTTTCTGAAATCCCCTTTTCCTGTGCTTAGGTATCTACCTTCAGAAGTGAATCTAGGGGTGTTGGCCCTAAAGGGAAGAATATGTATCTCTACTCTACAACTGTATCTTTCAACTACATCTGTCTATATCTCTCAACTATATCTTTCTACAACTAAGCCCTCGGCTGAGGTAGACTTTAACAGAAACTGTCTCCAGCATTCCTTTTAAGTCAGTTTAGGTGTTTCCAGCTCCATGTGCAGGCTTTGCAAAACAAACTATCAACAGGCTTAGCTTATTCACCGAGTAGAAGGTATGAGTATTAAAATAAAGGACAGCAAATTCCATTGTGTGTGCCAGATGCTGATAAACTGCTGCTACAAGTAACTTGGAGGGCTGTAATGTCTCCAGTCCTTTATATACTCACCGTAGCAGCAAAACTGGACTTGAGTCCTTAGAGAATTCAGCTACTATCTAGTTGCAAAGGCATTTGAATTGTCACCATACCAATGTTTCCTGCATCAAGGAATATATGCCCACTTCCATGTGGTACCAAACTACTAATTCACCTAATCTAACCCCTAAATATTAGCCAGATACTGTAAATAAGTATATTAGTTACAGTTTGCCTCTCCTGCTGGCAATGAAAACATAGCATTTAAAGTTAATGCATTTTAAGTCTTTGGTTTGGACACACATTTTCAAATGTGATTTGCAGTTAATACAGACCAAGGGACTGAATCCTGGCTTCCCAGGTTACTAGTGGAAACTAACCCTTAACCCTGAAACTACTGAGTACTTGGAAGTCACTTCTGTTACAACTCCTTACACTGAAGTTGCTCTGGGTTAGTTATTTTTACAAAGCCGTGGTATACAGCTGGGAAAATAGGGTGCAGTTCCCTGGCTAGTAACGCTATTAAGCATTTTGGCACCTCAGTTATACATTGCAGTAGATACTGCCTTTCTCATGGAAGTAAAACTTTGGACTTGCCTCAGATCACAGGAAGATCCGGAGTCATACAAGGATCAGCTCTGCCATCAACCAGAACACCAACGTGCCCCTCTTCAGTGTTTAAATTCCATTCTTATTTTCATTATGCTACAAAACTGGCATTGAAAATATAGTTGCATTATCTGAGTTTTTTAAAGAACGAATGGCAACTTTGCGTCACTGAAGAATAATTTGGGGAATTTTTTTCCTTTTAGGTGTGGCTAGTGAAGAAATGAAGTTTATGCTAAAATTACTGCAGTGTAGTCACAATCTGAATTGTTGTTAATCTCAATGTGGTTCACACATAGTACCTTATTCTGATATCTCTGTGTGAATGTATTTCCATCCCTCTTCAATACTTCAAAATTATGGTTTCTACTTGAATCAAACTTCAGTAAGCAGTTAGAGATTAACAGAAAATTACGGCACAGGAAAGTGAGTACGCACTTCTCTAGTTTATTTTCAAATGCGTTATGCAAATGGAGAAGAAAAAAAACACACTACCCAGTGTTCACAACAGTGAACTGTATTGTCTGCATATTTTTTACCCTCAAAAATAATTATTTACAACAGTTCTAGTAACTGGTTGGGATTGTTACACAGTGGAAAAGTAAAAATATCAAAATGGTAGCAAAGCTTTATTGGTGATTGCCCAAACACAACCTTCTTTGTTCCTATTTCACAGTCCTTTAGTAATGACACTTGTCTGTCTTTATATAGCATTATGCAAAAGGAAGTTGCAAGAATTAACTGAAAACTGAGTTCTTGAATAAACTTTATACATTTTGAAAAGTCTGCTTCTGCTTGTGTGTTCCAGGGAAACATCTTGTTGTTTTTATTTTAAAAACAAAATTATCTTCCCAAGACTCTATGAATGTGAAATGTACATTATTTAAAAAGATAAACAAAAATCTTGGCCTCAAACAAAAATTTACAGAACTCAGAAAATGTTTTTACAATTAGGTTTCACTGCACACCTAGAATTCCTTCATCTGTGGTAGGTTTAAGTAAGCAAAATATTATGTCAGTGCTGCTGAATTCATCATCCAGAAAGCAAACCAAAGAAATAAATGACAATGACAAAAAACTCATTGACAAACACCTGCATGAGATAAAAAAAGCATCATCTTCAAATGAAAACATCAACTTTGTCTGTCAAGTTTAGTTATTTTTGAACTATTACTTCTGCCTGTGTTCCACAATAATAATCCAGCCATCCTCGAAGTGTTCAGATCCAGCAAGAGGAAATCTCAAAGTTGTTACTACCCTCCTTTAATTGGAGCAATTACAATAGATTAAGGCCTCATTTAAAGCAACCCAAGTACTAAGTGAACGCAATCCTTATTAATAGCTCTTAAATTCTAGTTTTCAAATCATGAACTTTATTTTGGTGATGATCTGAGTAAAGACATTGCAAAAACTGCATTTCTTTATACAACAAACCATTTATTTTTCTTTTGGTAGCTGGCTACATAGAAGTCTATTCCCTTAAAAAAAAAAAAAAAGTTGCCTGTACAACTGATTGACATATACCTGGCTGAAAATACATTTTCTCTCATATGAACTTGTGCAATGTGCAGAATTATTTGTAAAAAGGATTTCTATGGAACCTACATGCTAACATTTACTTCTACAGACCCTTACTAATGAATCATCACATAATGTTCTGAGCTTCAATGCCCAACTTGGGAATAAGTATGTTATTTCCCAAGGTTCCCAGCTGAGACAAAAGGAAGGATTAATTAAGCATTTATTTACTTATATTAAAACAGGGATTAAATGGCACTTACAAAATCAGTTTCTATCACAACATGGTTTCCTGGTCTCATAGGGCCTTTTTATTTAGGCTAGCTGTTACAGTGAGTTACTAGCAAATGAAAATAAGAGACTTCCAGTTGAGACATCACTCTTAACTGTCTCTCTCTGCATCCATTTCATGGCTTGATGGTATCAGCCCAGGAATAATAAAAGAAATTACTTTTTCTGCATCATTCAGGTTTTCTTGCTCACCCTGGATCAATATTTAAAATTGCTTCAGAGCATTAGCTTCCTAAGAACCTCAGCTATTTTCTTTCTCACAGTGTCAGCACTCACAATATATACAACATAAACAAAACACAAATATAACAAAATAGTTTGGTAGTTATGCACAGCCAGTTTAATGGCTTATAATAATACTGGTAAGGTAACATAAGTTGCTTACAAAACACAGTTATGTGCCTAAAATTCCTCAAGATACCACCTAAAAATGGCTAAGCATTCATGTTGCTCCTCTGTTAATCATTTGCCATACGATCTTATGTTTTAGCTCTATTTAAACTGAAAAACATGTGAACTGTTTCCTTTTGTTAGTGTCTTGCTTACCCTGAATACTATCCATCTGACTTAAATGCACAAAGGAAGTAAAAGCCACAATTTAAAAAACATAGGGAATTAGCTGATTTATTTCACGGCACACCAGGATTTTTTACTTACATGCTCTTTATTGGAAAAAGAAAAAAAAAAAAAAAAAAATCAGCAAAATGTACAACTTCTTTGAGAAAATTGTAAACACTTGTGGTGGCAGGAAAAAAGAAGCATTTTCCCTTTTCAACAGTACTTTAATATTAGTACAATTATTTAGAAGGAATTGAAAAAAGGCTGTGTATTTACCTACCAAAAAGAAAGCTACAAATAATAGGTAAATTTAGTCTACTTCATAAAACCAAACCACACCAGACTGAAATACATGTTTGCATTTTTCTTTATTGAAATTATGGCACTTAATAGCAGAAATAACAGAGCTCCACAACCAGAAGCAGTATTGTTTCCAAACGTCACATTTCTTTCCACTTCAGTTTGCATGATTTTTCAGAAGAGAACAAGCCCTTTATAATTTGCTCACAACTGAAGAAGCTTTCATCTTGATTTTTGTTTCTGAATACAACACTATTGCAGCTGTATCTGCCCTGCAATCTTACTGGTGTTTATTTTCCTTTGTATTCTGGAAGTTAAATTACAGTTTCACTGTGCTGTCAAGTAAACGCTTGTAATAGCATGTCACTGTAAAATAATTAACATTTATATTAAATGTGGCTGATCCAGCAAAGAAAAATCCTCCCACTAGCTTTATCCCTCCACATTTTTTTATTTTTTTATATTTTTTTTACAAATAACTGACATTGAACATATTGCATGACATTACCAGAATTATTACTAACTATAAAAGAAAGAATGTGAACTAAAAATCAGACTTCTCTAGGGCTGTAGTGAACAACAACATAAAAACAGCATTACATTGCAGCACCTTTAAACATGTAACAAAAACCAGTGCTCAGTGTATACCAAAAATGGGTTACTGAATTGTATTATTACCAATGTTTGTTTGTGGAAAAATATACCTATATAT